CTTATTAACAAAATTAGGTACCGTAAATGCCCCCATTGTTACTATTTCTTCGGCCACGATTTAGACCGCACGGTTTGCGTTCAAAAATGTCGCAGACCGTAACGCCTCGCATTGCAAAACGTCTTTGAAAATACTTTCAGAACTACATGGTTAGCCAAATTATCAAGTAGACATTCGTTTCTTTCTTTTGTATTATTTCCCGAGGATACAGTGAAATGGTTATTTATGTAACTGTTCCAAATACTGGAGCCCCTGTTTGCACATTCGACACATGCTTGGATGTGGTAACGTTAAAAGCAAATAAATTTTACTAATTTTTTAACTGCTCCATTGCGGTTGCCAATACAAATAGATCTTTATAATATCCTTATAGGGAAATGTACCCGACTGAACAATTTCCTGACACGTTTATGCCACAGGAAGTATTAATCATAATTTGTTCTTTAATAAAGTGATGCGGACTAGTGTAAATGTCAAAGTCATTAAGCATATCCATTTTACCACAAAACATTTTGTAGCAAGTATTTTTATGGCCTATGTGACAGTCCTCTTTGCAAATGTGTCTAGATCAGTGGCACTTATAATGCAATCTATGCGAGTATCATGAGTCACTGAAGTAGGCGATATATTAGCCAAGAGTACCTTTAATGATGAAAGACACACATCTTTAAATTAACGTCAGAAATTTGTTCGATGTGAAAGGATCCCAACACTCCACTTTCATTTAATAAGAAGTGTTAGCAGTTAATACTGATGCCCTAAATACGTGGTATGCTCAGAAAATAACCGAACATTTTGAATAATGGACATATTTAGTGATATATACGGTTGGTAGCATTGCGTTGCGCTAACCTCATATGCGACCACATGTTCTTGGATTTTTGATATCTCATTTAGTTTTCCTGATATCGTTATTTGAGTGCAACGTGTTCAAGTGTTAGTGACGATTTGTGAGATGTGCCATTTTCAGGAATAACGATGCAATGTAAAACTTGGGGAAAACTTTCACGGAGACATTTCAACTTTTGAAACAAGCTTGCAGAGATGATGCTGTTGGTCGTACGCAATGTTACGAATGGTCGTCAGCCAATTCAAGATGATCTTCGACTAGGAAGGCCTTCAGCTGATTACTCCTACGTTAAGAACCGCCATGGGAATTGCGGAAGAGGTTGCAGTAAAATTTGCTCCTCGAACAATAGAAAGAAAATCGTGTAGACGTTTGTCCTTGAACAACCCAATGACGATGAAACATTCATTCAACGGATCATAACAGGAGACGAAAGATAGGTTTACGCCTACAACATTGAAACAAAAGTTCAATCATCAACAGATTGGCAAAAAAACACCGCTTCGAAAAGTGTGTAAATATTCTTTGAAGGAGACAATGACCAATAATGTATTAAATTTATAACAAAGTTTAAAAAAAATAAAATTCGATTATTTTCTGATCAGAACTCGTATAGTCACTAAATTATACCTGCCGAATAGACGGTACAATTTCTTATGTAAGATTCAATCAATAATCAATTATTGTATACATATAGTAGGCAAGTCATGATGATGTGCAAGAAAAAACAAACTCATATTTTTTAGAACAATTGTATGAATAACACAAAATCACCTTAAACTATATAATACACAGTTTTTTATATTTCGGTTGCTAAACAACATTTTGAAAAATATTAAATTATACATAATCACCCAATCGAATAATGCTAAAATTGGTGCATTTATCATTATGTTAGCTAGTATTCTTACACAACCAACTAGTGTATTACATTACGATGAAAGTAAGTGCTCTAATCGCTTACAGGCTTATTTGAACTTATGCTATAACCAATTCGACATTTTCTGCTAATTTATGTCTAAGCAAACATTTGGGAAAATACCACAACACAACCATGTTTAAACTTACCTCAAATGTTTATTATTATTATTATTATTATTATATTCTTTTTATTATGTATTACATATTCATTAAAAACGATTATTAAATGCAAAAACTATTATTATTATTATAAGTTCATTTTTTGAGTTGTTTCCTTTCAATGTTTTTTTGTTGCTGCTTTTGGCAGAAGCTCGGATGACCAATCACGGTTATTGGAAGTTAGATTTTAATAGAGAATCTTTTTTCAAGTTAAGTACCCAGATTAGTTGTTCCGTCTTATTAACTTCTTTACCTAACGCCGAAAAAAAATTAATAATGGTGAACGCTCAATTTCAGAAAGGTATTTTCCAGTTTACGTAACGCTTGTGCGAAAAAAATATATAATTTACAAAATCAAGAATGTCACGAACCTAGAGGAATAGCTATAGTTCATTCTTTCACCATTATTATATCGGAAAGGTCAGCGAATATAATTTTAAATATAAAAGGCCTGATTTATTCAACATTTAACAAATCAAAAACCTATTAGACATTAAACATAACAACCGCTTAAGATTTTGATAAGGTTTTTTATGGTAATTGTTCTGAATTTAATTATTTGCTGCAATTATACCCTTCCTAAGTAGAAATTAATTTAAATCAATTGTTCAATAGGTCTAGCACCTCGCAACTCAAAGACAAATAATAAATGTAATTTTTAAATATACAGAGTGTTCTATAAGCTCTATGAGAAACTTTGACAGATGGTAGGTGGGTTAATTCAAACATTTTTTTTATATGAACATTGGTCCGCTTCGTTATTGTTTAGAAGCTACAAGCATTTTAAAAAATATAATTTCATATTTCAATCAAAGTAGCATGATAAATGATGGTTGCTATAACATTAATTATTATGTATTTCAATCTGTCAAAGTTTGTAAAATACCCTGTATACAAATTGCAATGTTAATTTGGCTTTTAGGGAAAGGTTTTAAGACATTTTGTTGTCATTTAGCTGAAACAATATAGGTTATGCAACCAGACTGAGAAAACAATTATGCTATTAAGTACAAAAACAGTTTGGCAACTCTGTAAAGACCAATTCAAAGAAATACGTTTTTTTTTATTCAAAATGACTGATAAATGATCAAAACTGACACACAGTAAGTTACAGATTTTTAAATGGTCCTTCAGCCATCACAACGTTTGTCTTATCATCAAAACTCTGAGACCACCGTCACATTTTTAAATTCAAAGGAATTTCGTTCTGCCTCTTAGCTAATATTCTCAATGCAACTGCGTGTACCAGCAACGTGAGTTTGTTTTTTTTTCGTGCGCGGAGCAGTGAACGGGCCATGCCGGTTGCCGACGTCGTCGTGGTCCACTTGGCTCACCCGTTGGTACGGCGACCTTGGGACTCCACGTTGCAATTATGGTTCTAATCGTACGCTCGGGCATACCACTTAGAAATACCCAAGAAAGCAAATCGTTGCGCCTTAACAGATGCTAATCAAATTACAAAATGGGAATTCATGACAACCAAAAAAGTTGCCAAGTGAAAATTAAAAGGGTCCGCGCTTGTAACGGCTTTATCTTTTCGTACGTGATTTTTAAAAGAACATTTTTCGTAATAAAACTTGAGTGACGAATTAATCTAAATTTGTAAAAAAATCTAGAAACTATTTAAATAGGTACATGAATATATTTAATAATTATTATTTAAATTGTGTTGGTTAAATCCAGAAGCTATAAGATTTTGATTTTTAAATATATACCGCCATTACATATTTTCATAACAAATAATTTAAAATATTTCTAGATATCACTCTGGCATTAAAACATTTTGATTCTTAATACTTAATAAATACAATAGGTAACCAATTTATCTTGATGTTCTTTAAAATAAATGAATGGATTATATTATCAATCTGTCAAACACAATTTATTTAGATTTGTATTCTTTGTGCATTATTACAAATATTTTTGATTAAAACTCTGTCAACGTTTTATATCCATTAATCTTCATAGATTATTATCAATGAATAAACTATCCATTCACTTATTATTGTTATAATTAATGAAAGAGCACCTTGACCTAATAAATTTGTCAATAACCGTCGAATCCGTAATCGTTGACAAAAATCATTCTATTTAAACAATCAATACTTGGGGTGTGATTGACAACGAAACAGGTGGTCCATAATTCTCCTTTTACTGCCATTTATTTCATTGATATTAAGATATCTGTAAAAATTGGTTAGGTTAGGTTTATATTCAATTTTTTCCAAGAATTTGTACCTAGGTATGGATCACTCATACTCAAACGTTTTTAAAAAAGATTTCTACCGACTTATTCCAAATTTGCACTGCACTCTAACCTTCTCCTAGCCCGTTAAGGAGCGCCCAGACGCGTACTATTTACCAACCCCCAAAGAGAAAGGCACAAGGCTGTCCACGATTAAAATTACGACACGAAATAATAGCTCTCACACCGACCTGCGTCACAGAAAGTCACTTATTGTGACCTTTTCTCTGAAGGTAACGGGAAAATATCCACCGATCACCGCGATCCGAAAAAATTTACGTAGTCACAAAAATCTGCTCTTTGGATGATACCCTTCTATTTTATAGTTAGCAGGAGCTGGTGAAGTTTAAATATTGTTTATCACATACACATTTCTTTCTATTTTTACCACAATCAGAATATGAAACGCCTAGTAAATTGGGACTAGTAGGTACATTACATACTGAAAAGGTCAACGTCCACTTACCTAATCCGTATAAACAGAGTAACAGGGTCTACAATTTACAGAATATAAACTATATCACTTTCTACGTTCCACTTATTAATAATTAGATTTAATGTGGTTTATTGATTATTATCGTTAATCTACGAATTCGTATTCAGGCTAAGCAAGAGTTGTCTGCATTTCTATACAACATTTAATACCAATAATAATTCGTGACAGAAATATTTATATTAGTCGCATGCCGAAAAAAACTAACAATTGTTTAGTTTCGCAAAACCGGGAAACTTTAATGTATAATTTATTTTCATTGAAATCATTGACATTATCCTTAACTATATTATCGAGGCTGGTACCAGAACTAATAAAATTACTTTTTCTTTCAGATGTACGGGAGACCTTTGCTGTTCCTTCTGACCTTAACTACGCTGGGAGTAACGGCAGAACAAAGGAAACTTCACAGACTAGTCGGCGGTCACCTCAGAATCATAAATCCTGATCCAGAAGATTCGGAACTAATGAGACTAGAAGCGAGTGGGTCGCGTGAAAAAAAGCAGAAATCCGACCAAGACGAGAAAAAGACATTAGCGCAACAAGTAGCCGACGGCAAGTACGGACTAATACAAAAGGAACTGTTCGGTAAGCCTCAGAAAAGACCTGGAGTTTTGAGTTACGACGACAATTCCGAAGTACCGAATGACAACAAAGAGAACCTTGGAGGACTGCACAAAAACGAAATCTGGTTGGCGGAAAATCACCTCCTCGTTATAAAAGGCGGCATATACCCGCCACACGAGGAAAAACCAACCAACGCCGTTACTCACTGGCCTCCGATTGATGACTTTAAGGCGCCGCTGCATCAGGTGAAGATTCCGAAGCATCCCAAAGTCCCGCCGCCCTTTCCGGTCCAATTCACGGACGACGGTCCCCTCCAGATCCTTGGCACAAACTCTTCGAGAACGATTAATGAATCAATCGCATCGACGGGCTACGCCTTACCGCCCCCCGACGGTTACCAAGACTCAAATGCGTCGCACTCCCTTGACCATTCCAATCCGGCCAACGCTACTCCCTGGCAAGCTCCGGTGCCAATACCTATCTACCCTTCGGGGGAATACCCGCAGGGGGCGCCGTTCCCCCCTTTTCCTTTGAACGGTACTTTGCCCCCATATTTCGCCTCTTTACCCCCAGGCGCCGCGATCCTCCCCCCGCCAGGCAACCAAAGCGACCTGTACGACGAGGACGACCCTTCAATCTACTATCCTCCGCCCTACAGCTTCTACTACCCAAAAGATAACTCTTCCGCGGTGCAACCGGGTCCTCTGGTGCCCGGTATAATTTTACCACCTCCTCCCAACTTTTTTGGACCGCTAGAGGAAATTACCACCACTACCGCATCGAAAACACCTCAACGACAAAGAAAGCCAACTACAGAAGAGAATCCCCAGATACATCCGACCACTACACCTTTGCCATCTACGGAAAAGACTATAACCAAGAAGCCTTTCAAAGTGTATCCAGTTCACAATGTCTATCAATCTAATGAAGTTAGTTCTACGTACACAACTACTAAAGAACCCACTGTAGTGTCAGTTTTACCAGTGCGTCAACCAAACAGGACTTATCCAAGAACAGGAAAACCGCAAACTCAAAGAAAGAGGCCACAAGTCACCATTTTACAGCCTGTAAGAGGAAATACTTCGCCTCCAACTTACCATGAAAATGAAATTTCAGATAAACCTTTTGTGAGCTATGGTCCACCAAGGGCAACAAAGAAATCCTCAGTCACCACAACTCAAGTGCCTCTCAAGTATTTTACGACTGTAAATGAAATAGAAACAAATTCCGTTACCCAACCCGCCATAAAATTACACATTGAATCAGAAAAAAGTACTGAAAAACCCATCCAATTCTACTTCTATGAAGAGGAATTTGACCCAAACAGCCAAACAACACAACAAACACCAGTAAAGCAGAGTACGTACGTCCCCAACGATTATTATGTTCCTGTAAAACCAACAACCACAGTTCGGCAGAGGAAACCTCAGTTCATATATGTAAATGCACAACCGTACAACACTCAAAAACCAAAATTCCGCTACATTCCACAACCAGTCAAAACAGATACCTTTAGCATTCATATCGCTAAATTACAGAACCAAATTAATCAATACTACACAACATCAAGACCGACGTACAAACCCGTTCATTCTCCAAAACCAGTATACCAATTCAGTTTTCAAGCAGCAAATTATCAACAACAGAATCGCTTTAAACCATCCCCACCAGATCTGAATCAAGAGGATCAGTTCAGACCTATTCCAAAATACAGTGTTCAAATTCAACAAGCTATAGAAATTATTCCTACTGAACCACCGAGGTACCAACAAACCCCACCTCCGGTTTATTATCAACACACATACCAACAGACTTCAGAAAGGCCAGGGCGCTATTATACCACCAATAGACCAAATTATGCATATGAAACCATTACACAAAATACAAGATATCAAAACGTTGCCACTCCAAAACCTATATCTCAATATTCTTTTGAGGTAACTCCTAATCCTATTTACCAAGGCTTTTACACTAAACCAGACGAAGGTTTCTTTGATGATAACACAAAAAAATACTTCACAATGTTTGGAAGGAAACTACCAAGTAGTACAAGCCCATTGCCTAGTGTTGAACAAACAACAGTTAAACCTAACTATATTTATTCAAATCAACAGCAGCAACAACAAGCTTCACCGCAGTACCATGAGAAACCGATATCTTTGGAAAGTGACACACTGGTAAACTACGTACATCCCCGACCAACGACAAATCCTGACGCAGAGCTGATTCCAGTAAATCACCCCCAAACCTACCCAAATGTAGTTAAATACCCTGTCAATCCTGCACAGTATGTCCAACCTCAAAAGCTGCCACACAGAGAAGAAAACCCAGAGATTATAAAAGCAATTCCAATAGAGGTACCCTCGGATGACGGTCGAGAAGGCTCTTTCATATCCTATCAACTCCCTGGCGATAGGGGAGCCCATTTTTATTTCCTCACCCCTCAATTGACGCAGAGGAGGGATCAAGGCTCAAGTTATTATTACTCTCAGCCAAATGCTAGTCGGATAAGGAGAAATGAAGCTCGAAATGAAGAGAAAGACAAAGAAAGATGAAAACTGCTGTGATATATTTTGGGACATTAATTTTGGAGTGTGACTTTATTAGTGCCTATTTTTAATTGGTCTGTGATCACGTGTTTACTGACTTAAAAATCTTGTGCAACACTGATAGCCCAACGTCAATAAGATACAGAATAAATGTATTTAAGACTGTGTCAATTTCTGCGAAGAACGGCATTACAACAGACACTTTAACTTCACAGGATGTATGTTTTCTTAAGAAAATTGAATTAAAAGAAATAGTAGGAATACAAACATATGTGAACATAATGAACAATGTCTAACAATTAATATTTTTGTATTAATTGTATTTAGAATTGATTATCAGTGAGAAAGTGACAAAGTGTAATTGCCAAATTATAAAACTATTGTAATTCAATAAATATATGCAATAGACACAAATCTAAAAAAAGTCAAAAAACACAAAATATACCCATATTTGTGTTTTGAACATAAACCAAATAATTAAAAGTAGCTACATATTAAAATAATATGTCACTACTTTTTCTAATTCACATGTACATTTTTAGCTTTTAAATTGTGAGCAACTATTTATGAACTATCACTTTCTAACTGAAAATGAAAATGTGCAATTCAAGACAATTAATTATACTATTTATAAAAAAATTTAGTTTTAAGTTGTGCTGATATTATTTAATTAGATAGCTCTGCGAATATCTAATTGTTATTGCAGCCTTAGGAAAAATTATATTTTCATAATTTTTAATAAGACTGTTGAATAAATAGAATAAAAATTTTTTTATAACACATTATAGTTTAATTGACAGGACCAGTGTAATTATCACCAAATAAAAAAAATTATGAAAACTCAATAGAACTGAAAGGAATATTTTGTCAGAAGTATGTAAATAAAATTAGAGTTTTTGGTTTGTTTTATTTCTTCATAGTATAATGCAACAGGTATTAATTTGAGTTTTATTAGCCTAATCGAGATAAATTTATTTATATGAAAAAGTACGACAATTGTAACTCTTTCTAGAAACATTTCGGTGAGAAAAATGATAAAATGATGTTAGTAGAATACCAATTAAAGCACAAAATATATATTATGGTTTGTTTAATATTCACTAGAAAAAAAAGTTTGGAATATTTTCATTTAATATTAGCAATTGGAAAAAATTCTCGTTTCAAAGTACAAATAAATAAAAATTATAAATTTTTAATATTTGTTTAAAATGTATGTAAATATTTCTTTCGGGTAATATTTGATGATAAATGTCAGTATACAGACATCCAAATAGCTAAAATCGTTCCTCGGTTGTCTCACCTACGATATACCGATGAGAACAAATAAATGTTTTATGTCTCATGATTTTCCTGATGATCTTAGCTGTTTACTTGATATTGTGGGTGGAATTCAATGCTAGACTGGGTATTTTGCCCACAGTGTAGTTATTTCCCACAAAACATTAGTTAAAAATACGATATATAATTTCATAATTTGAAAAATGTTATCAGTCATCTATTTTAAACATTTTTCTATGTCAAGTTATAGCGACCGATTACGATAATGATCTAATTGTAATATATTTCGCTAATGCCAATTTTTCAGTCTACCTGTATTTCCTAGTTTGCAAAAATTCGAAGTGGGAAATTTATTGCTCAAAAAAATTAACAATTTATTACGCATTTAGTAAATTATCACTAGTAACAAATGAGAAATACTTTTTTACAGTAAGGGTAGAGTTTTTACAGGAGATGTCATTTGCAAAGCATACATATATTTTTTTTCCAATTTAAAGATTTTCTCAAAATGAATCAGGATAATTAATAGTGAAATCAAGGCATATAGCAAGTCATAATTTTTTTATTTATGAATATGTTACTTGCATTTTTTCAATTTTGTACATTCAAAAATGTAGATAATAGATTTTCACTTGTAATATATTTTTTGTTAACTATTTCAAATGTACGGTCTTTAGGAAACCAAATAATACAGATAACCCACATAACAAGATACGGGTAGTACTTAGGGTTACCAGATCTATTTCATGACAGACCCGGAGACATTAAAATTCTATATTGTGTTACATTTAACTATTGCCTAGATCAGGAAAACACAATGTTTTCAAAGAAATCGATGTCTAAAAGAAAAAAGGTTCAGGAAATCTAGGAGGCATAAAATGTTTTTAAAGAAATCACGATTTTTCCCCAACAAACCCGGAGAAATGACACATTAACCTGGAACCCAAAGATGTACCATCAAAACCCGAAAACTCTGGATCAAACCCGAAGATCTGGCAACCCTAGTAATACTACAACAAATATCATGTTCATATTTCCTGTAGATATATCTCTTGCAGAATATAACATAGCCTTTCTATTTGTTAATTATTTTTTTTATTGGAATGCATAGGAATTGTTTAGTTTTTCATTGTAATAGAATCAAAGTTTTAATTTTCTACTCTCTAAATACAAAATAAATAATGTACTTGTGCATTCTATAGTACACAAAGTTATTTTACCTTTTAAAAGATCGCTATCTTGTAAGAAATTCCTCATTAAAAAAAAACGTTTTATAATGATTCCGTCCAATGGATAATCTAAAGTGCATCAACAACATTATCTACTCTATCGATTGTAATAGAGTTTGAAAAAAAATTACTTAGCTTGAAGTGCAGCATGCTAATTTTAAAATTAATGTGCCGTAATATGCAACAATTTCTCGAATGTAATAGAGTTAAAGGTCATTTATTGTTTATTTATTTATAATTATGATATTCAACTTTTATATTTCTATTATTTATTATAATTATTAGAAAAATTCTGTTTGATTTGCAATAAATATTTTTATAGATACCATTTCTTTTATTTTTCATATCTACACATCAATGCAAAAAGCAATGTTTCTGATTCCGCTTGTAATCTGATTTCACCAATACTTATTTGAATATTCCTATCGGTGTGAAATATTTGCTTGTCTTTTCGGGTTACTTCAGGTAAAACATTTTAATTTCATATTGGATTTCTTAAAATATTCAATTGAAAATAGGTCAACTTGTGTAACCAAAATCATTATAAAAAAAAATGTGTAATTAAGAATAAAAATGTACGACGTGTCCAGAAGAATACGTGTCGGTGCATTTCTTTAATTACGTTCCTTTGTCAAAAGAGGAGGGCCCCTAAGGCCGGTTTTTGGCCTAATTTATTTTTGGCTGAAAAAATCTGAATTTTTTTTAGTACCTACTAGCAATACTGAATCGTTTCCACCCTAAACGGACCAACCCCCTCACCCTCCTTCCCCGTCCAACCTGTTAAATGCCGGGGAAACCATAGCTTATTAGAGGAATCGTTAAAGAGCTTAGAGATGCGAAAGACATTCAGTTCCTATGAAGCTTACATATGGAGTTTTTTGGGTCACTAATCAGGAATGTGGTCTCAGAATCACGAAATTCAAAATAGCGGATCCAATATGGCGGATAAGAAAAATTGAAATGTCTTCAAAATGCGTATATTTTTTTGTAATGGGGTTTTTTGGGTCTATGATTATGAATCTGGACTATAAATCACGAAATTCAAAATGGCGGATTCAATATGGCGGACAAAAAAATTAAAATGTCTTTAAAATGCATGAATTTTTGAGTGGTGGAGTTTTTTGGGTCTCTGATTACGAATCTGAAGGCAGAATTACGAAATTCAAAATGACTTATTCCATATGGCGGACAAAAAAATTTAAAAAGACTTCATAATCCTCAAATATTTGTTTATAGAAACTTTCTTGGATCACTGATTACAATTTTGAATTCAGAATCATGAAATTCAAAGTGGCTAATCAAATTTGCACAAACATGTATGTATAATTATTGATTTTTTGTTTTTCGTTTTATTCAATGCAAATGTGTGTCATCTCATTTAAGGGGGTGGAGGGGAAATGGAGGGTGAGGGGCTTGGTCTGTTTACGGTGGAAACGATTCACTATTGCTAGTAGGTACTAAACAAAGTTTTTTCAGCCTAAAACCTTAGAGGCCCTCCTCCTTTATATAGTGTAGGAAAGTACCGATGGTCTATCAGAAGTTACGTGAGAGCGATAAAGTAAGCCATAGAAATCCATGTGATACACAAGGATGGCTATAATGAAGGCGTCTAATTAGTCAACGCCCATTTTGCCCTTCCACAAATAAGAAGTGGATCTTATTTGTGGAAGGGTGAAATGGGCGGTGACTATGAGACGCCTTCATTATAGCCATCCTTCTCTATCACATAGATTTCTATGGCTTACTTTATCGCTCTCACGTAACTTCAGATAGACCATCAGTACTTTCCTACCCTGTATATCATTTTACTGTACATTACTATATAGTGTTTTATTTAAAATTCCACAGTTTGATATCTCGAAAGTCGAAAGTGGTATCTACGTCCTTTAAAATATATTATGTACTGCACATAAATAATTTTAATTTTGAGTAGAAATAACTTTATTTTCAATACAGTATCGATGGCACTACGAAACAAAAATTTTTCAATGACAAGAATTTTGAAAAGTAGCCCATGTGAAAAACCATTTAATTCTAAATGACTATTGTAACATAAATAACTTCTAAAAAATTACTGGTTTTCCAAATAATTGAAAGTGAAAATATGTAGAACAGAAAAAAAAATACTTTTGTACTTTCATGTCAAAATGTCACAGAATCCAATGCTTTTCAAAAATTGATTTAGGTATTAAAAAACGTGCTCAGAATCCAATTGCTTTTCCTGCGGGCTATTTTTCAAAGTACCGGTCATTGAATTTCTTTCAATTGTGGCACCATCTATATTTTTATGAAAAATAATGTAGATGTACTCAGAATTGAAATAATTTATTATACATTACACATTTTTCACAAAACAGATATCTTTTTTCCCCACCGTGACGCTGGGGAAAATTTAAGCGGTTATATTTTCCAAATGAACCATGGGACACACACCATTTTTTAGGGGATGATGTCTGTACTCACAAAAAGAACTTCCATGAAGAAAATTTTTTGGGAAAGATTAGCGAAATACCTAAACCTTTTTATATTATTTCGCACTCAATAGAGTTCCCCATAAAATATTAGACATTTAGGAATGATCACTACTAAAATGAACACAAAACAAGGTACTCACCTGTGTTGAGTTCCTGCTCCGCGCTCTCGTCCTTCAGAGGCTCGTCGAACAAGTGAAGGTAAACCTCGATGGCACATTTGGCTGCTTTGAAATAAAACGGGTGACCCCTCAAAACGTCCTCTAATCGAAGGAGTCCTACGTACGATCGAAGAGTCATTTTCCTCATACAGTACGTATGAAAGTCAAATTGGTCTTCTATTATTTCCGAGAAGTGCTAAAACAAATTAAGCGAATTTAAGAACGGGTGATAAAATATACATTTTAAGTCTCATCACGAAAATACATTTAAATACTCACCCTATCTACCTCGTAGCACTTCTTCAAAGCGTCCCCATATTTACCAAGTCTCTGGTATGCCAAGGCACATTCCGTTTGGAACCACATACACTGCATCTCGTTTAGGTTTTCCATGGGCGACACGCCTTCCCTAGTAAACTTGCCGCACGTTTCCTCCGCTTCTTTAACATAATTCGCTCGGAGCATATATTTGGCACACTTAGAATTTATGTACCTGTCGGCTGTGTCTAAGGCCTGCGCTTCGTCCAGCCACTTGTATGCTTCCTGCGGATCGTCCGCATGCTAGAAAAATAATTAAAAAATTAACTCTTATCTGTCAATCTGGCAAGACATTGACAATCACCAATTTCGGCATATAATCAACAAAATAATAATAATAATAATAATAATAATAATAATAATAATAATAATAATAATAATAATAATAATAATGTTGATTATTGGTGTCATATTTCAAGAAATATTTTTCTAATTGTATAGGATATTCGAGTTAATCGCAATCATTTTCAATAAAAACCAATCACTGAATTGTTATACAGTTTATTAAGATTTGTTGCACGAGATATAGAGGTGAAGAGAGTCAGTCTAATTGTTGATATTGCCCGCAGTTTTAAGAGAAGTAAGACGGTCAATGGATGGAGGGCAGTGTAGTCAAAAACCGCAATGATCTAAGAAAGCAAACCTCAAAAAGAGGCAATTTGTTACTTACACTATTATAATACGGTAATAGAAGTAATAAATGTAATGAGGGTGTCGATCGCAATGCCTGGATCCTGACGGCCTACAAACGTCAAAATGTGTGGACAAGCGTCAACCCTTACTTTAACTTATGTAATAGTCAGCTTATAAAACCAATGCTGTTCCTGCGACTAGTACAGTACAGTACATAATAAATTTGCCCAACTAATACCCTAGTACTGAAAACAAAGGTTTCATTTTGCCTAACTTTGATAACACATAAAAAATCATAAAGTTTCTTATCATAACACATCCATGTAACTTCTGTATTTGTACATTTTGTAACTGTCGCACAGTGGGAAATATTGGAAAAAATTCGAGCCATGTGTCAAAACTAATCAAATAGTACTGATTTTTTTTTATTCTTTCCTAATTTACCCGTATTATAAAGTTCCGGTGAGGTAATTGGAATATATGCCTAGAATGTTTTCAAAATGGCCGAGTAATCTCTAGCCTCAAACTCGATCATACAAAGTTTGACACATTCGGTATCTAAAAATTAAAAAAAAAGGAAAATTATGTCCTAAAGGCTGCCAAAAAAAAATCATAAACATATATTCCTAAATCATGAATCTAGACCCAAAACATAACCTCAAATCTATAAATCTTAACCTAAAACAAACATACTCAATTTTTTCTAAACCTGTGAGTATAAATCCACAAAAATAGTAAATTTGAGATTATGTTTTGGATTCATGATTTAGGAATATGTTTAATGTTTATGACTTTTTATTTGTTTGGCAGCCTTAAGTACATAATTTTCCTTTTTTGTTTCATTTTTAGATACCGAATATGTCAAACTTCGTATGATTGAGTTTGAGGCTAGAGATTACACGGATTATTTGAAAAAATTCTAGACATATATTCCAATTACCTCAACGGAACTTTATAGTACATGTAATTTCGAAAAGAATAAAAAAAAATCAGTACTATTTGATTAGTTTTGACGCGTAGCTCGAATTTTTTCCAATATTTCCCACTGTGCGTCGCCTAATTGTTAATTTTTAGTAACAGTCAAACAAATTAAATTACTTCTAGGTACAAAAAAAAGTAATAAACTTGATAATACATTGGTTCTGAAAATTCTTTTATTAACTACTTGAGTTTCAAATTAAAACCAAATATCGACATCAATAATAGTCGTGGACACATTTATCGTAGAATTTGTTCTGGTCCAATGAATTTCTTGGATTATAATAAAAAATCAAACATCAAGGACAGGTAGATTATTACAAGTTTACGAATTGGCAAATATAGATATGTTAATGTTTTAATCATTGAAAAAAAAAATTGAAGTTTTAAACATTTGTATGTATATACATAAGTGTAGGTACATACAAAACAAATATTTTCGATAATTGTTATGCATGTACATATACATACAATATTTTTTAATACGATTTTCAATTATCCCTAGCATCGTCTCATCCCATGAGGAACGAATAATTAAATTACTACCATACTAACATCCATATTCTTAGCGAATCGTTATAAACAATTTTGTATTTTCAAATTTAAGTAGGTCATCTCTCATTTAAAATTCATACTACTCATTACTCTGAATAACAAATATACATAGTCATTATAAACATGTTGTAGTTTGCTCCCAATCATCATAAGGTTCTAAAAATAGCATTTTGTTGGTTATAAAATATTTTATAGGAAACTGTTATAATTTCACAATTGAATCGGTGAACATAAAACTTTATTAATACAAAATCTTATCTAAATTAAAAAAACATAATATTTGTATTATTAAAACATTAAATGTATTTCAAAACCACAAGGATTAGAGATAATTCATCTCTATCTCACATCAATCATGCAAAGATGTGCAATAAGTTCATATTTACATAGGCAAAATTTTGACAGTGCTATAGAACATGATTCTCCTTTTTCACACTTTTTTACTACTTCCCGGTATGAATGCAAAATTATATGAATCCTATCAAACCAAGTTCACACCCGTCAAATAATTACTTACCTTATAAATTCTTCCTTTAGTTACAAAAAGTTCTATCAACGTCGGTGTATGCTCGATAGCGGCGTTTATGTAATTTAAAGCTTTTTCCGTTTGATTTAGGTAGTCGAAGTGTTGCGCCAAATAATAATACACCCATAATAAAGCACTTGCTGGTTCCTTTGGTCCGTTATTCACTTCCGCCTCACTATATTTACCTATTTTCTTTAAAGCTTCGACATATTGCATCAGTAATGTCTCTATCAGTTCCACTTTGCTCTTGTCAGTATACAAACTTCGTAAATCTACAAACAGTGGGGGAACACCTTTTGACAAAGCTTTCCTCATATATTTGTCGACCAATCTTTTAAATTGTTCACCAGCAGCATAATTCAAGGGCAGTCTTCTAGGCGGCATTGCTCTTGGAAATATTTCTGCATATTTTAAATAGAACTCCACTATATCATCTGGGTTACTAAGTTGTCTGGCTTCTATTAATTTTTTATAATATATAGTATTTTCAGGATTTCTTTGTATTAATTGTTCATAATATTCAGCAGCCTTATCGAAACGGTTTAATTTTAAATTTAAATCGCCTAAGTTTTCTTTTAACGTTAACTTATCTACAATTTGGTCTTGTGATGCCTCTAAGTGTTTTAGTGCCTCTTTTAAGTCTCCTGACTCTTGTATCACAAGATTTTGATATAAAAGTAATTCACTGTGTTCATAGTCATAATTATTTCCTTTCTAGAATAAGAAAAAAAAAACATTATTTAAGTTGTATGTTCTTTATAAAACAATCATCTTACTTGTTGTTGATCCAAAAAAGTTTCTAATATGTTTAAAGCATTTTTGTATTCTTCTAACAAATGGAAAGACATGGCATAACCAATCCAGGAAGCCCTCTGTGTAGGTCGAAGCATGAGTAACTGATACCTCGTATCCTAAAAGAAACACGCAATAAATTCATACTAGTATTCATTAAAAGGTGTACTGACCCTATAACCCTCCAAATCACGCATCTGGATTTGTAGTAAAGATAAATCCCTAAGAATTTGTATGTTGTCCTTCTCCCATTTAAGCGCATTTCGGTAACACTTAATTGCTTCATCATATTTCTTATCCGATCTTTGTAAAAGGCCATAGACATGCCAACAGACATGTGAACGTAAGTCATTTCTTAAACCTCTTCGAACATATTCATATGCTTCTTCTTTTCTTCCCAGGCAATTTAGGGTCAACCCTTTCATAGCCAGTGTTTCTAAACTCATGTACAATTAGATTTTAACAATTAAAAATGTAAATAAACTAACCTCCATGTTCCGTAAATTTTGGATTTGAAAGAATTTGTTTCGCAAACTTCAACCCATTTTTATATTGCTTTTGTTCATAACACCTCTGAAAGAAGATTCATTTTAGCATTTAGTACAAAGCAAAAAAGCCTTACATATTTGCATTACCCTCAATTTAATATGTATATAAATAGAATATGTCAATCTGGATATAAAATTAAAATTAAAACCAATTGCAAATGTAATACAAGCACTTTGAAACTGCAGGAACTATGCTAAAAAATAGATGATCTAATAGCAAAATGACTCGGTTAAATTTACAAATAATGCTATTATTTTGTTAACCCGTCGATTTGTTAGGCTATTTAATGACATAAATACTAACCAAAATTCTTTTAAATAAGGCATTTTCTTTTGGTGGTAACGGGTTACTAGAGGGCATTTTAAATTTGCACTAAAACTTGTGAACTTTTTAAACCCGGTGAAATTAAATAATTTTTGTGGAGAATCAAAACCTCGTGGCCACAAACCTCTCCAATGTCGATCGTGGTCACGTGACTAATGTCGAAAGACAATGCCGGTCTTAGAGATACCTGCAATTTCAACTTTTCGAAATTTTGAAAATGTACTCATAATGTCCGGTATAATACGCGCAATAACCTGATTAAAAATTATATTTCAAATACTAAAACACTGAATGTTAATTTAAATGATATTTTACAAGGAGTATGATCATTTCACGAAGCGTTATTACATGGCAATCAAATTATAACTTAGATGTTAGGGTGTTGGAGATATATAATAAAAACATTAAAAATAGGCGTAAATTTTTATAAACCCCTTACAACTTTTTCAGTTAGATTCATTTATTAATTAATTCTATTAATTGTATAGTGTGGACCAATTTTCAATTTCGAGACTTGTAGAGGGTTAGTATTATTTAACAAAATGAGAAAATAGGCATACTTAAACTACTTCCCGATATCTCGATTTCTTTGAGAGTTACAGAGCGTTTTTCAGTTTTGATCGTTTTCTATGATAACCTACAATTTTTTTCAGAAAATATTTCATGTTTGTAAGTAGGTAGGTATTGTAGTTTTTTTTTTGTTTGTTTAAAATCCAGTGGGGTACACGTTGTTTTCCTATAACAACTAATTTTCCAGTTAATCTGTTAAGTGTGGTTGTGCATTTCTTCATCCAACACATCAAATGCGTCTAGGCATACTTCATTGTATCAAGAAACAGTTCCAATTTATTATATTACATAAGGTTGTGGTGAAAAATGTAAATAAAAATGCCTATCTTAAATAGAAAATAGTTTTGACTCTAAAATTATCGAAAAAGGTTGCTTGTAAATTTGTACAATATTTTTTTCATAATCATCCGATGAATACTAAGAGAATATTTTATAAATATGCACAACCCCTTCCGAGATCTTAAGAGCTAGTCTATTTTATTTTTTATTTTGCAAATTTTATTCGAAATTCGTTTATGAAAACTCTATAGATTTACAAATCATCCCCTAAAATAGGTGTGAGTCCACGCTTTATTATCAAAATACGGTAATTTTAATTTTTGTGAGCCATCACTGCTGTATTGCAAGGGCGTCTAAAAAGAGGCCAGTATTGAAAAACACAGAATCTTTTAAACAAATCAAGATATCAAAACGAGGCCTTCAATATCGAGTGAGGTAAGGATAATAACCGAAAATACAACAAAAGTTTATCAGGAGACATTTCAATATTCATATCACACCCATTCCCAGTAAAAGCTTATGCAATCTAGTTTCTGGAAAGATAAGCAGTGAATTACAATTTTTTATTAAAACAGATTTTATCGTAAATAAATAACAGTCTATCACTTTACTCATAGGTTAAATACATTTGCAACAAAAATATAGTATCGTCAATTTCCAACTCAACTAAATTCAATTTCTTCATCGTTTTTTCTACACTTTCTAGGATTTGTCGTTCCGGTGGAGTAATCATTTCTTCGATCTAAAACAAATTGCATATAAAAATACAAACATTTATGCGAATTTCGCTCGTTATATTACATCTGCTAGCTGGTTTTCTGAAGCCCCTTGTGCTCTCATGCCCATTGCTATAGTGTCCACCCTTTGCTTCTTATCAATGATTCTCTTATTTATTTCCCTTTCGTAATTCCTCCTAGTCATTATATTAAATAAAGTCTTGTAACATAGATCTAGTATCATTCGTACCACCTGTTCCAGCTTAATGTAGAACAACATAAATGACTTACTAGGTCCATTACCTACGGATGCTTTCCTCAGTTCTTGGATTTCTAAAAAGTTTTCTTCAAGTAACTGATAGGATAGTCGTTTAGCTTCTTTTGCGGGAATCATAGCAAGCTTTTGAATTTGATCTGGTTCTATGTATTTCTTCAATTTCACAAGCCTGAAGATTCTGGCTGCCTTCGAATCGAATTTTTCTAAAACACACTGCTCGGTCACCTCCCAAGCAAATTGAGTAAAAGCTTCCTTAAGGAAAATTTGAAACGAACCACCACTAGCTTCCCCTGATTTTCTGATTAACTTACTACTATCTTGTTCTAGAACAAAATGAATATTTCTACTATTAAATGCGTATAGGATACCATACTATGTACCAACCTATAACATTAACATACTGGTCAAAAAACGCATTCAGTTGTGGAAAGGTATTTTGTTTCTTAAGTAAATCTTTAATCTCTAGTATTGGCACTGGATTTGAAATATCCGCCCATGGTTGCGTCCTTATGTACATTCGCTGTAACAACAATTTGACTAACTCCCCAGCATTTTCATCAAATTTTCTTGTAAAAGCGGTTACAATAATTTTATCTCTCATATCTTGGTGGAACCTATCAAAATTTACCGTCCAGTAGATATTTTTATCTGTATAATTGTATGGCTGACCTGTCTTCGCATTAACGATCTGTTTTATATCTATCTCAGGTATTAAATGCAACTCCTTATCTTTGATAACTAAATTTGGGACTGGTTTGTCTTCTTCACTGTAAGGCATTCTCACCAAATATTTTGCAGTAACTAATGATACAAATTTGTCTTTTAACTGTCCCAATGTAACTGTATTTTCTACGCTTTTTGAGAGACGTTGATCAACTTTTAAAATTATTTCTGATGCTGTCCAATAACTTCGCTGCAATATTTCTTCTATTATCATTTCAGATTCATCACCAAACTTCTTTTTAATTAAATTAATATATTTGGGATAACGTAACATTAACAATACATTCTCAGCATTTATAGTGTAATTCGCTATATTCTCATTTCTGTTTGGAGAGAAAGTCACTAAACGATATTTGATCAGCACACACAGTGATTCTTTTACCTGCAATGTAATTCAAAAATAAATAAGTTACTTTTATTACGGGGTTATGTTATGGACACCCACCTTTGATAGGGGAAATTTTGTACTTTTAACAATGTATAATATAGGACTGGTGCCGTACTGAAACAAGTACATGCCAACTTTTTCTATAATAGGTCCAAAACGTTCACATAATATAAGAGACAGTACTTTTCCCAACTGAGCAGACATATTCTGAAAAATGAATGCCTGAATAACTTCCTAATAAAATAATAATAAATTGTGTTATGATATTTTATGTTTAGGTTAATTTCAACCAACATAACCTAGTTTATTCTGCAGAACGAAGTTGATAATACAGATTTTCTTTTTCCTATAATAGCTCGCAATTGTCTCTATGAGATGTCAGTGCAATTCATAAACAACAAATAGTGTATAGTGGTCCATAAATAATAAAAATATTTTCAGTGATTCAGAAACTATACCACACTATACCAATGACATTTAAATACAAAATTGAAAATAATGTTATCTCGATCCTAGGAATTTAAACAATATCTTGACTTATTGTGATAATGTTAAACATTCTCATGGATCTGGAACATATATAAGGCAATATTTTTCTCTGACGAAATTAAATAATAACTAACCAATATGTATATTTTTCGTGTGGGAGCGTATAAAATTGTCGATATATGCATGCAATTGCATCTTTTATTTCTTTCTTTACGAGTGTCGGTGACGATGATGAATGTCATTCCTGCAGATGCTTCGCCTGCCTAATAATCTGGTGGGCATATATAAATATTTATCATTCTAAACCCCCTCGTTCTTTTAACGACAAACACATAAGTCAATCAATTATGTTTAATTACTATTGTGTCATCTATTTTCCATAAAACTAATTATTTTATAAGTAATTTTTGCATTTTCTGCGACAAATACTTGATCAATGAAATATTTTGTTCGTGTATACGCTCGGTGAAGACTGTTTGATCATATACCATATAACTGAAGGAAACATTGCTACAGAGATAAATCCAAAAGCACTCGTTTTTGCTGACTGTTTTATTTTTTTCCAAGATGTTAGAAATTGGAGAGACTATCATTTACGACATTCTGAATGACAAAATATTTACATGATTCCCTCAACCTCAACAATTTTTAGCAATTTGAAATGAATAGGGTATATACAGGGTGATATCTAGGTGTGAGAAAAAGAGAATTTTAATAAAAAAATTTCGTAAAGAATAAATTGTATATGTAATGTCATATCTTAACTGTCACAAAGCATTGCTTTTTATCTACCGGTAGAGAGCAACCTACTAGGTACTAGAACTAGACCATAGGTATCATGAAAACAAGACTAGCGTCACATTAGGTTAAATACATTTAAATGAATGATATTACGGAACATTTTCTTATGAAGTTTTTTGTTTAAAATCAAATTTTGTCTTCCGGGTGTGAAGTTTCCTATGAAAACCTTTTAAAGACTATATCTCAAAAACAAATCGTTTCCAAGTAGGTATATACATGTCTATTGGTTTTTTATATATTAATTGGTGATATGGAATTCGCAAATATTTTAATTATAGAAATTTACTCAATGATTGGAGTCGTTTTAATGGCCGTACAAATTCTTGCGTTTTTCTACATATACAATACAATAATACCTATGTTCTTTGCTCAGACAATAAATAAACTAGTGGAAATGTGGTTTGCGATTCCCCTTCCGCGTTTCTTATAAAAAAGATCCGCTTCGCAATCCAGAATCGATCGGAGGCTGGAAAACCAGCAGCCACTGCAGCACGGTGGCGAACATCCACCCCCTCCTTCCGCCTATGGTCGTCGTCCCCAACCCCATCATCTTCCACCACAGCCCCCTTTATCATTCGTCGGCGTCATTTCGATAGCGAAAGCGCAGAGAACAGCTGAGCATCGAACCGCTGAACACTACGCTGTGTGCTTCTACTAGTGCCGGCTTTATTCGTTTGTTGAATGAATGCAATCCGTAAACAAACATAGCGGGTACCGGCAGCGTTGCTCTTCTTGACAGTTCGTGTCAAATAAGCGGCTAGAGGTGTTAGAATACTTTTTTTGTGAATGAAAAGACCGTCTTTGTTGTGGTACTATAGCAGTACTCGTTCGTAAAATGTGGCTCGAGATATTTTCAAACTGAAATATCTGGAGGAACTGGTGAAGTTACCTGCCTAATTGGAATCAACGAAGTAAGATTAAGAGGTGAGCTAGGATAAAATCATTCGTTTATTATATTTCAGTTGAGAATCTTTGTAGTATATAAAAGGTCGGATAAAGAGGTTATTATACGATCAGAAATTTGTTTATTTAAAATATTTAAATTAAACAAATAGTAGGTAACTTTATAACTATTGAGATATCCAGTGTAAATAAATTTTTGCCTAAAAACTTTTGTTGAAACAGTTTTCAACAATTTCGAATTAGTTAGGTACAAAATTTATATTTTTTTTCTATATACCTACTACGTATGTATAAGTAAATGTAGGTATAAATTATTGTTGTATTGTTTATTATTAGATTTTATTAATTAGTTACTGTTATCATTAGCTAAAACTATAAATGCATGTTTCTATAAGTAGGGGTATATTCTCTTTCTCTTTTTCTAAAACCATGAAAATAAAATAAGAGATAGTAATCTGAGCATTGGGTGACCGTTTCTTAAACCCCTAGTTAAATTTAAGTACCTACCTAAGAAATAACAATAATTGAAAGTTCATAGATTTACCTGCAGTTTTACAAGTTCCGTACCTTCCTGTGATAATTTTTTTTAAAAGGACACCCTTTTTATAACTTTTAACATTCTCTTCACAAGGGCACTATGTATTTGTTTAGGTTTTGTTTCGCATTATCCAAAAAAAAGTGAACAAGTATCATTTAGTTACGAATCTTACTTTGTTAAGTGTAAATTCTTTTTAAACCAACTCTCAAATTAGGGAATACCAAGATAAGTTTTAATTTTTGTGGATTATAAGAAATACTTATAAAAAGCCAGTGGTACAGCTATCGATATATCTACATGGTGATCTGCTGATCGGAGATGCATTTTTCTTGAAAACCACTGAATATACCTAATTAAAATCCGGAAAAGGTTTTTATATTTTCAGTTGCTGGTCATTCAAATGTGAGACAAAAAAAAATTCTTATATATTCACAGTCTGTCCGGTATTTTTTTTCATTCCTGTTTTGATTCTGTTGGATAAAACTTTTAATTATGTTTTTCTATTTAGAGTTTTTTGTATTTAAATTCTTCGAAATAAACGTTTGCAAAGTTGTTTTGCAGAATTAGTCGATGTTGTGCAAATTTTGAGACCTTTTGTCAAATTGTCACTAATTTACGCACGTTCATTTTAAAGAAAAAACACATCTCTAACTACCAACACCTTTTTTTATAGATAGGTCAAGGTGTCATGACCGAGCTTGCCAGAAAAGTGATTTTCAACTACTAATACATATCTTCAAAACTTTTGAACATAAAAAACTAGGTAATTAGAAAAAGTGACAACTAAAAGTTTTTTTCCAGCGATAACTAAACAGATATAGGTATGTTTCCGAGAAAAAATATAAGAAAAGCGACAGCAATCTGTGTGAATATATAACTATTTTTTTTTCTTACATTGACAACCACCGAAAATATAGCACCATTTTCAGAATTTAATTATCCTTAGTCGTGTTCAAGAAAAACCCAATTGTTACGATATATCAATCAACATGAATTTTTTGAAAATTCTATGGATTCTTTGACTTGCTCTCTAAATGTCCACAAAAAGAAAACTAAAAAATTTGTATTGGTGATCTTATTGAACACTTAATTGTTCTATTTTCCATCTTTTGTTTTATGTCATCTTGGTACAGGTGCTTTATTTTTTTTATTTTGCTTATAAATACGTTCGGAGTTTGTTTAGCAGATGCGCATTGTAAAACTGTGATAACAATGTGATCGGAATCATATGACATAGATAACCTGAATAAATAGCCTTTATTAAAATGAAAAGGTGAGATAAGAGGAAAAATACCACACGCGGAAGCTCAGTTTAAATTATTAATTTTTTTATTGTGGCCATAAAACGATTCACTGCTATATCTTGTTACCTGTTTTAAAATATAGCGATAAAGGGACTTGTGACTAATCAACCATCAGTTGGCTTAAATACTGAGGAAGATTATGTAAAATATTAGAGACAGTACCTATACAGAGTGTAATATTAATCTTTGCATTTTGGGAATAAATAAATTAATTTTCTACAAGTTTCAAGGTTCAAATTTTAGACGATTTAACAGTCCTGTAACCGCCATTTCTACGAATGGTATCGTACACTTAATGCCAACATGTGTTATACTTTCTGAGAACAAGACTAGAAATGATCATAAAGCATGTTTTTAATGGCACAACAGTACTTATTTTAAATATAAGAAACATTTTATTGCTTTTAACTGGGCTATACGTAAAGTGGAATATGTATTCTTTCGGAATTTCGAACATATATGTACTTAAGTCCGATAATGTAGGTATTTATCAATAAATACCTACAGCTAAATATATTTTCTTACAAATCTCAAATGTGTATTTGTAATTTCTGAGTTAGATTCGAGAAAATGGCTCTAATTTTTCAACTACCTGACACCCAACTTCTATTTTAAAATGGTTTATATTTGGGTCCACCGAACTTACAGTAGGTACATCCTATGTTTGTTTACAATTCCTACAAGTATCTTCCTATGTATATTTTTTATTCCATTTGTTATTTACTTAATTAGTATTTACGAGAGAAATGTATAACTTAAAAGCTGACAATTTTCTTTGTGTATGTTTGCAATTTTCTAACTTTTATTAATTTTTTAATTAAAGCATAGTCTAGCATATGCCAATTGTCTGCCAAATTCGTTTCACTTTTATATATTTTCTACCACATTATTTCATTTTATGGTAATATCGGAAAAAGTGGCAAACACTCCATTTGCATGGCCTCGTGAGAGCTGGGAGATCAACATGTATGTTGCACCCTGTATATAGCGTTCTAAGCAGTGTTTAAGTTAAATACATGTTTCTTCTAAAAATTCAGTAATCTTGTTTGATTTAAACGATTTAATCAATGACAAACGAAACAATTACTTCGTTCGAGGCGGTAATACAAATTGGCGAAACATTATGCCGAATTTAACAAGCGTGCAACTTTAATTATTTATGGGCTGCGCTAATGACAGCTCCATATCTGTGTTAATAAAAGCGCTAATTAAAGTATTACTCTTAATATCATCTAGAG